CGCCACCTCGACCGCTGAGACTAGTACAGTTCCAACATCTTCAGCTGAGACCTCGACAATCGCCACCTCGACCGCTGAGACTACTACAGTTCCAACATCATCAGCTGAGACCTCGACAATTGCCACCTCGACCGCTGAGACTACTACAGTTCCAACATCATCAGCTGAGACCTCGACAATTGCCACCTCGACCGCTGAGACTACTACAGTTCCGACATCTTCAGCTGAGACCTCGACAATTGGCACTTCGACCGCTGAGACTACTACAGTTCCAACATCATCAGCTGAGACCTCGACAATTGCCACCTCGACCGCTGAGACTACTACAGTTCCGATATCTTCAGCTGAGACCTCGACAATTGCCACTTCGACCGCTGAGACTACTACAGTTCCAACATCTTCAGCTGAGACCTCGACAATCGCCACCTCGACCGCTGAGACTAGTACAGTTCCAACATCTTCAGCTGAGACCTCGACAATCGCCACCTCGACCGCTGAGACAACTACAGTTCCAACATCATCAGCTGAGACCTCGACAATCGCCACCTCGACCGCTGAGACTACTACAGTTCCAACATCATCAGCTGAGACCTCGACAATCGCCACCTCGACCGCTGAGACTAGTACAGTTCCGACATCTTCAGCTGAGACCTCGACAATCGCCACCTCGACCGCTGAGACTAGTACAGTTCCGACATCTTCAGCTGAGACCTCGACAATTGCCACCTCGACCGCTGAGACTAGTACAGTTCCAACATCTTCAGCTGAGACCTCGACAATTGCCACTTCGACCGCTGAGACAACTACAGTTCCAACATCATCAGCTGAGACCTCGACAATCGCCACCTCGACCGCTGAGACTACTACAGTTCCAACATCATCAGCTGAGACCTCGACAATCGCCACCTCGACCGCTGAGACTAGTACAGTTCCAACATCTTCAGCTGAGACCTCGACAATTGCCACTTCGACCGCTGAGACTACTACAGTTCCGACATCTTCAGCTGAGACCTCGACAATCGCCACCTCGACCGCTGAGACTAGTACAGTTCCAACATCTTCAGCTGAGACCTCGACAATTGCCACTTCGACCGCTGAGACTACTACAGTTCCGACATCTTCAGCTGAGACCTCGACAATCGCCACCTCGACCGCTGAGACTACTACAGTTCCGACATCTTCAGCTGAGACCTCGACAATCGCCACCTCGACCGCTGAGACTACTACAGTCCCGACATCTTCAGCTGAGACCTCGACAATTGCCACCTCGACCGCTGAGACTACTACAGTCCCGACATCTTCAGCTGAGACCTCGACAATCGCCACCTCGACCGATGAGACTACTACAGTTCCGACATCTTCAGCTGAGACCTCGACAATTGCCACCTCGACCGCTGAGACTACTACAGTCCCGACATCTTCAGCTGAGACCTCGACAATTGCCACCTCGACCGCTGAGACTACTACAGTTCCGACATCTTCAGCTGAGACCTCGACAATTGCCACCTCGACCGCTGAGACTACTACAGTTCCGACATCTTCAGCTGAGACCACGACAGCCGAGACCTCGACAATTGCCACCTCGACCGCTGAGACTAGTACAGTTCCAACATCTTCAGCTGAGACCTCGACAATTGCCACCTCGACCGCTGAGACTAGTACAGTTCCGACATCTTCAGCTGAGACAACGACAGCCGAGACCTCGACAATTGCCACCTCGACCGCTGAGACTACTTCAGTTCCGACATCTTCAGCTGAGACCTCGACAATTGCCACCTCGACCGCTGAGACTAGTACAGTTCCGACATCTTCAGCTGAGACCTCGACAATTGCCACCTCGACCGCTGAGACTAGTACAGTTCCGACATCTTCAGCTGAGACCTCGACAGCCGAGACCTCGACAATTGCCACCTCGACCGCTGAGACTACTACAGTTCCGACATCTTCAGCTGAGACCTCGACAATTGCCACCTCGACCGCTGAGACTAGTACAGTTCCGACATCTTCAGCTGAGACGACGACAGCCGAGACCTCGACAATTGCCACCTCGACCGCTGAGACTAGTACAGTTCCAACATCTTCAGCTGAGACCTCGACAATTGCCAACTCGACCGCTGAGACTACTTCAGTTCCGACATCTTCAGCTGAGACCACGACAGCCGAGACCTCGACAATTGCCACCTCGACCGCTGAGACTAGTACAGTCCCGACATCTTCAGCTGAGACCTCGACAATTGCCACCTCGAC